CCGGTTTGAGACACAAACCGGGACTAAAGGGCATTGCACCCTTTAGACCCGGTTTGTGTCTAAAACCGGGACTAAAGGTCTAATCTTTAGTCCCGGTTTGAGACACAAACCGGGACTAAAGGGCATCGCACCCTTTAGGCCCGGTTCGTGCCACAAACCGGGACTAAAGGGCTCAGGTGAACCGGGACTAATACCTTAGCCGCACGAACCGGGACCAATGCTCACATTAGTCCCGGTTCGTGACTGAACCGGGACTAATGGGCTGACCCGGCCTGGACCTTTGCCCCCTTTTCTACTAGTGGATGTTCCTTCCTTGAAATAGATGTTTCCAATTTTTGTTTGCATGCACTCTGATCGGTTTCCAAAAAAGTAATATTATTTTTTTCCTAAGCAACATTCTGTTCCAAAATATCTCAAGTACATATACACACCTAAGACATTTTAGGTTATGTATGTATATACCTACTGATTTATTCAAGATATTAGACATTTATTTCTGGTTGTGTATATACCTAGTGATAGACCTACTGATGTATATACCTCAAATATTTTGGGTTATGTATATACCTAAGATATTTTGGGTTATGTATATACCTGCTTATATATACCTACTGATGTATATACCTACTAACGTAATTCATGTGTCCAACACTCATAATTAACACTTGTATTTTCTAATGATGTACTTTCAAGGTATTCATCACTTATTTATTTTATTGATGGGACACACTTTTTGAAGACTAGTTTTCCTATTCTATGTAAGGTGATAAGATAATCTAAAACGACATCCTAATTACTTTTTTACTTTTTTGGACATATACATACCATGTAGACATCCAGACCCGATATGTTTACGTACATATACCTAATATAACATACCAACATCTTGGTTTTTAATACATGTATTGCCTTCGAGACATACCCCGAAAATTTTGTAGTTTTAGTGGTGACATACCCAAAAATAATAATATACTCTTTTTTGAATATAAAGTATATGCTTGAAGACATACCCATTAATGGTATTGGACACATACCCCAAAATGATATACTTTGAAAGGAGACGTGCTCAAGGACACGTATGTTTTATACCCGTACGTACATGAGTATTTTTCCATGGAGACAAAAGATAACCATACCTTATATACCCAAGACGATGATATACCTAAATATATAACTGTATATATGACTTCGTATTTTATTATGTAAAAAAGAAAGTAATGCATGAATAAGAGAGAAAGAAGGGCACGTGTCATGGAGCATGCATGGCCTTAATGGACCATTAATTGGTGATTTCTCTATATTTCCTACTAGGTGTCCCATATATAATGTTTATCATAGAATCAGTATTTGCTGGAATGTATTTAATATGACAAGCTTAAAGAAGTTGGTCGATTGTCAATGGTGTAGAAAATGTAGGATGGCTGAATATTGTGTTGTTCTATTGTGTATTGATCTGACCCTCATATGAGGTACATATAGAGTACAATATGAGGGAGAGAGACTTGGAGTAGAGGGCAAGTCTAACATGATTTAAACCTATCTTATCTCTAACTAAACATAATTATACTTCTAATAAATGGAATGCAGTATACTTTGTTTTATACTGGAAAGACTACCCGATATGTACATTGATAATTAGAAGGAAGTATGTCATGGATTAGGTTACGACCCTAATAGCGACCTGCATGATTAATGGAATTCTGACATGATCATTCATGACGCATTGCTCACAAGTACATGTTCCAGATACTCTCTACCTGGAAACTAGTTTAATAATTAGAAATTATAAATATCAATTTCAAGAAACAAATTGAAGTGAAGAGCAACAATCCAATCCATTTGATGATACCATGTTGTTACAGTGGTCTTCTCGAATGTCAAGGGTTAAGTTGACTTGATGCATCATTTATATGTTGTGGAGAGTTGATCACATCTTCCTAATTTTTTTTACTCTGCTTATTTGGTTTCCCAGATCCCAATGGAAGTTACCTTCCTCTTAAATCACCAGCAGGGTAAGAATTGTTATGTGAACCTATACTCTTATCCACTTAATTTTCTTGGTCATGCATGTTACGTTTATTCTCATGCAGTTGTGCTGATAAGTATCCCTCATCTTGTGCAGTATAGCCAGACATCGTCCTTTCACGAGCTAATTATTGCTCACCGTTAAGGTTTTTTGGGGAAGAAAAACTGGATATTATTGTCGACTACTGTGAGAGAACTATGATGCTTATTCATATTCAACTCTCTTCGGTACAGGAAAAAAGGTTTCAGCAGGAGCAATAGCAGGAAGTGTTGTGGCTGGTGTAGTGGCACCTGTCTTGGGTGTCTTGTTATTCTTGTTTTATAGGCGAAGAAAGGCGAAACAGAATACACTGCGGCTAGGTAACCCTGCAACTGAGAGTTAGTCCTGTAATTTGTTTTGTAGACAAGCATATGCGTGTCCTAATTTCACCACTTCAAGTTAATATCTGTCCTTCGTTCGTCTCAACGATTTTCTGCTAGAAGGATATGCGTGGATTTGGGTGGTTTGAAGCCATGCTTGTTTATCCTATGAGCAACTATATTTAGCCTGGAAATATTGTGGAGTAAATAGTGTATGATATGAGTTATGATTATGAGTAATAGTTTGAGAGACTTCAAGTGTAACCAACGAGGTTGTCAAGGATCTATAAGTCTACTTTTGGAAGATAGAGAAAGTTAGATAACCTTGAATTATGCTTCCAATTTTCTTCTCTTTTTTGTGCTTCCTTCACCAGGCCTTGACTGATATTAATCACAACAGAATGTGCCTTCTTATTTCTGAACTATTATTCTTTTTGTTCCAGCCAGTACAATATTAATGCAAAAGGTGACATCATCGGCCACTCAAGCTGACGTAGCTTCATTAGCTGCTGGCATTACAGTTGACAAATCAGTCGAGTTCACATACCAAGAACTTTTTAATGCTACAGAAGGCTTCAACATAACTCATAAAATTGGACAAGGTGGTTTTGGTGCTGTCTATTATGCTGAGCTTGTAGGCGAGGTTAGTTCAAAAAATAATAATTCAGATGCATTTCAGAAACCCACATGCCAAAAACATGTGTACTTAACAAGGGGCTTGAACAATGGCAGAATAACATAACTCTGTGAAGGTCCATGATTGCAATCATGCAACATCATGATATGTTCTTCATCGAAATGACTTGCTTTGTTTCTCTTGTGTTGTCCACTGTCCAGAAAGCCGCCATAAAGAAAATGGACATGCAGGCTACTCAGGAGTTTCTTGCCGAGTTAAAGGTTTTGACACATGTTCACCATCTAAATCTGGTTTGTAAATCTTCTATTTGTTCACCTAATCAACACTGCTTTTTAATGGGATGTTAATATTGATTTTCCATGGGGACGATCTTGTAAATCTTTAGTCAGGTTAATTAGCCGTTTCAATGTTCGATGCCATGCAGGTGCGCTTGATTGGTTATTGCACAGAGAGTTCTTTGTTCCTTGTCTACGAATTTGTCGAGAATGGAAACTTAAGCCAGCATTTGCGTGGAACTGGTAATGTTCTGCCTCTCGAAATACCGAATGTGCCTTTTTCTGCTCTGTTGCTTCTGGCAAATTAATCTCTCGGCACATTTGTATAGGTTATGAGCCTCTTTCTTGGGCTGAAAGAGTTCGGATTGCGCTAGATTCGGCAAGAGGTCTTGAGTATATTCATGAGCATACCGTTCCAGTCTACATACATCGGGACATCAAATCTGCAAACATCTTGATAGACAAGAACACCCGTGCAAAGGTAGGAATGATTCAAGGAGAATTCATCCGTGTGTTTTATATGTACTGTCCAACGATCCATGTGTTATATATGTACATTCATGAAGTAATGTTGTTTATGTGTATCTTCCAGGTTGCAGATTTTGGTCTAACAAAGCTTACAGAAGTTGGTGGTGCATCTTTGCAAACACGTGTTGTTGGTACATTCGGTTACATGCCTCCAGAGTAGGTTTCCTGAACTTCTACTCTTTATTCTTTTTTGAGGAATGAACATCTACTTTTGTCATTCCGCTAACTGCAGAGTAGTTGCTGATTTTTGATCAATGTTTACAATTATGGGAAATGGTGTTGGCAGATACGTTAGATACGGCGATATTTCTCGTAAGGTTGATGTGTATGCCTTTGGCGTAGTCTTGTACGAACTTATCTCAGGCAAAGATGCCACTGTCCGACCAACCGATGGATCTGCTAGTGGTTCAAGGGGACTGGTTTATCTGGTAATTGTGCTTCTGAGCTAGTAATACTTTCTGCTCTCGGTGCTTCATAAAGCCGCTTTTGGGTCCAGTTCCTTCTTTGGCTGTTTGATGACTTGTTACCATACTGAATCTTGTAGTTTGAAGAGGCTCTCACTGCATTGGATCCGAAAGAAGGCCTCCAGAAGCTGATCGATCCAAAGCTGGGAGACGACTATCCCGTCGATGCAATTCTCATGGTTAGAAAAACATGCCCAAGCCCCTGCTTGCATTGTTCGATTGTATAATAACATATGCTGCCTTCTGCGTGCAGATGACACACCTGGCGAACGCATGCACTGCAGAGGACCCCAAGCTGAGGCCCACAATGAGGTCTGTGGTCGTCGCGCTGATGACGCTCTCTTCCATGAGCGAGTTCTGGGATATGGAAAACCCGGGCTTGGTGAACCTCATGTCCGGGAGATGACCTCCTTACCCACATATGTCTCCCCTGGCTGGCATTGTAGATCAGGGCATATTTCGTTTCTGCCAAGAAGCAAACACACGCCTTGCAGAGCCCTTTTTCTTCCATGAAAAGCTAAATAGGAAATTAGATACATGCCATGAAACATGTGCATCTGCCAAAATCTTTCTTTTTTTAACAAGGCAAAAGACTTGCTATTTTCATTGATTAAGAAGATGTGAGAATTGCCCGGTTAGTTGACGGAAAACCGGGCTAAAACCGAAACAACCCAATCCATAAACACACGGACACCACCGGCCAACCTGGCCACCGACATGGAACAGACTCCACGACGGCACATGCCAAAAGATGGCCATACGCACGAACAACTGACAGCTCCGACTTTAACGACGATCATCGCCCGGGAAATATGCAGGACTTGCGCCGACCGTGCCCGCCGCAAATGAACACCGAGCGTCTGTCATTGTCACCACATGGACTCGCTCCACCACAGCTCCGACTTCAGAGCAACAAGGCAACCCACGAAAGAGCACCTCAGACACGCCGGGAAGATCTGACTACCGAAGCCCGAGCCGCGACCCAAGCTCCTCTCGACGCCATCATCGTTGCCAAACAAAAATCAACGCCTCCGAAACGGCCGCATCAGCAACCACGCGGCGAAGATGCCGCCATCCACCACGGCGAAGATGTCGCCTTCCACCGGTCTCAAGTTGTAGCCGCTCCAAGACGATGCTCCCACACTACTAGGGAAAAGCCTAGTAGTAGCGCGGGTTTAATGCCTACTAGTAGCGCGGCAACTACAGGAAGGCAACTACAGCTATTCCTTAGCAGTAGCGCGTGTGACACACGCTACTGCTAAGACATATAGCCTCAGCGTGTGTTTATTCCGGCGCTACCGCTAATCTAACTACTAGTAGCATGTTTCCTGTCCATCGCTACTAGTATTCTGTTTTTTATTTTTATTTATTTTTAGTGTATTTATACGCTGTTATACAAATTTTGGTACAATACCAATTATGAGGTTGTTATATCATTATGTTCATAACAGTGTCGGAAATGAAGGTGGATTAGGTTCAAGTGGAGGCAACATGTGGTGCATGTCGAAAGTATGCTACTAATTCAAACTTGATCAAGTTTGGACTAGTAGTACTTTCGATGTGCACCACATGTTGCCTCCACTTGAATCTAATCCGCCAACACAAGCTATTTAATCATCATCATAGTCATTACCACCAACACTAGCTATTTAATCATCATAGTCATAGTGTAGCACATCATCATCTTCAAACTCATTCTAGCTAGCTAATCACCACCAACACTAGCTAATAATAATCATCATAGTCATTACGACCAACACTAGCTATTTAATCATCATAGTCATAGTGTAGCACATCATCATCTTTAAACTCATTCTAACTAGCTAATCACTCCTACTGCTCTCTCTCAGGTAGAATAGCATAAAACATGTGTAGCACTCCTGCTTCATTATATCGGAGCATGTAGATGAACCTGTCTCCTAATTGTGGGTTGCGCTTCTGATTGCTGCCCCCTAGTACTTCTCTGCGATCCTTCACAATTCTGCTCCAGTCTTTGACTATTAATACTTCCTCGCTTTGAGAAATCCTGAATGCACTAAAGTGCAATGTAGGATGTCTTGGCCGTAAACTAACCATTCTCATGCGACCTTTAGTCTCGATCTAATGAGGCACAACATTCATCGGAAGTCCTTGTTGAATAACATCATAGTAATACTTAGCAATGAAGTTTAGCTTAAAAAGTAATGTATGCAAAAGATGCACTGAGGACAAATAGTAAAAATCTTACCATCGTTCTTAAATAGATGTGACCGTAGTTCAATACGAACACTATTGGTCGCACGTTTTGAGTACTAAGATTTTTAAGTCCAGGAAAATAATATGTCTTGACAACATCAAGATCCTGAAGCCATGAAACATAATGACCTATCTCGTCACAGTTTAGTTCAGCCCCGGGACAGTGGACGGTCATGCCTACCAAGCGCCGGACATGTTTGCTTGAATGGAAATAAGTTGTCAATAGAAATTAGTTGTCAACTATTTTTGAATAAACAATATCCAAGACATAAATATGGTTGAGAAACTCACATAGTGGTAGAACTGGAGGCGTCTGCACATCGACCCAGATGTCTCTATTACCTTCAATATCATCTTCCGGACGAATATCAAAGGTGATAACCATATCAGGCTCAAATGCATAAGCCTTACATAGTGCTTGCCAAGTTTTGCATTCAAAATAGGTGTAGGTGTTTGCACTGTATAATTTTGCTTTGAAAGTATAACCATGCTCGGTCTTCTTTACCTCCATAGTTTTCATAGGACTGAAACCTATCTTATCCAAGACAAAAACTCTTGCATGGCAGGGGATACGCTAGTAGAATACTAAATTTTTTAAATTATAAGTTGAAGCAAATGAAGCAGAAATCATGCTTAATTACGAAAAAGACTTGTGGTTGTGACTTAATGTATCCACTTCAAAGGTCTCGTCCAGCTTGATGCTGAAGCGCCTATTATCAACTAGGAAGATTCTGTTGCACAGGCCGCGCTCGTCTTCGCAGTATTCGCAAATACCGAAATCCTTTTCATCGTCAGACATTTCCTATGTTCATAGTTGAAACATTAATTGAAAATCAAACGAAGGCAACTAGCAGGAAACTGAACACACAAATCCGGGGCACTCGATATTTCCTACATATTCTAGCACAAGTCATGCTTAAATTCAAGGAAAAATCCGGCATGACCTTTGCTAAAATAGGACATATCGAGCGCCAGAAATTTGCCGGAACGGAAATGAATCAACACTCCGGCAAAACATAGGCCACTCGGATTTTCCCAGCGATACAAAGATGTTCATACACATACAATGATGCATGCTTAAACTTGCAATTCCATCCGGATCAATTATTATAAGAATTCACACATGAGCTCACCAACTAAATACCGTAGTTCTACTCTATTCAACACACCGAGAAGTGGATAAAGAGGAGGTGGACTTTTAGCTCACCGACTCGGGTGTAGAGGAAGTAGAGGTAGCTCGGATGACGATCACTCCAATGAGACACGACTGTACAAAGCCTGCATATATATTCCACCGAGTAAAATTTTAATTAGATCATCAAATCTCATATAGCATTCTTTGATGACAAAGTGATAATGACATAAATTCAACTAGTTGAACTAAGCACTTACTAACAATAAAGTAGTTCTATTAATTTTCTTACTAAAAATAAATTACTTCTATAGTAAAATTTTAATTAGATCATCAAATCTCATATACCTAAATTTTCTTACTAAAAATAAAATAGTTTTATTAATTCAACTAGTTCAACTAAGCACTTACTATAAATAAAAATAATTAATTTTCTTACTAAAAACAGTAAAAAAAACTACATTATACAAGAACAGTACAAAAAAGTTTAGGGTTTAGGAGAGATGGAGGGAGGAGTGGGTTGGGAGGAGGGAGGAGGAGGGAGTAGAGAGGAGGAGGAAGAG